GTTCCCCATAGCGACCCCTAGAGGACGCAGTGTCTCGTTCCCTACTCAGGGAACCATGGTTACATAAGTAACCTGAGACGTTTCCACACTCTTAAAAAAAAAAAAAACATGGAATCTTTCCATTCCACAAAAGGTTCTTTATAGTGGAAAAAAGGTTCTTTAGATGATCAAAATGTTCTTCACACTAAAAAAAACAATGGTTCGTTTAAGAACAGGTCACTGAAGGATTCTTTGAGGAACCAAACATGGTTCTTCAATTGCACTGCTACAAAACCCCCTTTGAAAGCTTTATTTTTAAGAGTTCTTCATAGAACCATAGATTGCTTTATTTTTAAGAGCGTTTGAAGAAGACCTATGCGAAATAGATTAACATGCAATTCATGCACAACTGTTTTCAACATTGATAATAATCAGAAATGTGTCTCGAGCAGTAAATCAGCATATTAGAATGATTTCTGAAGGATCATGTGACACTGAAGACTGGAGTAATGATGCTGGAAATTCAGCTTTGATCACAGAAATAAATTACATTTCACAATATATTCACACAAAATGTGTTTTTTAAATTGTAATAATATTTCACAGTTTTTACTGTATTTTTACAGTAGAACAGCATAACAGACTTGCAAGTTATAAAAAAATAAAATGTAAAACAACCACGAGATAATGTTCCGTTTAAGGTGGTCTGAAAAAAAGCCGTATGGCAGCCTTCTTGGAACATTAGCTATGATTAGACATATGCCGGTATTCAGTAATGCGATATATCACGGTAATGATTATGCACAATATTGTTATCGTGGGCACTTCTAAATACCGTGAATAATTTGTATTATGACAGCACTTTTTTAAAACTAAAATCGTGATAATACCGTATACCGTGATAAAAGCATTAGTAATTAATCGCAACATGAAAATTTGATACCGGCATATCCCTAGCTATGATTATTAAAAATGTACAACCTAAAAGATAGCTTGGAGAGCTTTACGAGTAGGTTCCTCCCAAAAATGGCACTAACATTAGAGGAACATTCTGTGTTTTAAGAGCAAACCAGCTCCTTTACCTGAGTGACTAGAAAGCGAGTGGTGCGTTCAGTCAGCCGTCCGTTCTCGTGAGATAAAATCATCTCTAGCATGTCGCTGTGGAGCTTCTCCATCACAACGAAAGTATATTCCATTGTCTTAAACATGTCTTCTAAATGAATGACTCCTGGATGAGACAGTCTCTGAAACGCACACACATGGACGATATAATGACAACAAAAACAACACAAGTGTTTGAATTGTGGGGAAAATGGCATCTTGAACTCATACCTGCAATATCGAGACCTCATTTTTGGTCTGTTCCTCCTGTTTAGTGGGAAATTTTGTTTTATCGATGACTTTAACTGCGACCGGACGGCCCGTGTGTCTGTGAGTGCCTCCGTAAACCACCCCGAACTGACCCGAACCCAAAACCTCATCAGAGAAGATCTGATAGAGCTCACTGATGTCCTGCGACACACATATGAACACACAGACGCTTTGTTCCCTCTTTGAAACACAGTGGTGGTTATTTTAGAAATATATTTATGATCAAAAATTGAGTCTCACCTGGGTCTCGTCACTGTTCTTTCCATCACCTGGCAAGAGAGGAGGTGTCATTTTATTTGACATTATAGACAACATGAGGATCATAGAAGATGTGGAAGTTTGTTTCTTTTGGAGAAATGTAGCATTACATCACTTGCTCTGTAGTGAATGGGTGCCGTCAGAATGAGAGTCCAAACAGCTGATAAAAACCTTTTGTAAAAATCACAATAATCCACACCACTCCAGTCCATCAGTTAATGTCTTGTGAAGTGAAAAGCTGAGTGTTTGTATAAGAAACAAATCAATCATTACAACGTTTTAACTTTGGACAGTCGCTTCTGTTCAAAATATGAGTCCATAAGCCATAACAACGCTTAGTCCAGTGAGAAAGTCCATCTCCTGTTGTTGATTGTTTTGGCTTGTAAACGGTGCTTGATCCGTGCAGATTTCTCTCCTGATTCAGACAAGATGAGTTTTTCACTGGAGGAAGCAATATTATGGATTACGGACTCATATTTTAGCAACAGTTCAAATTAAAAACATCTTAATGATGGATTTGTTTCTTACAAACACGCA